TGGCCTTTCTGCCCCATGCTCTATCTGCCATGGAGCAGCTGGCGGGTTCCAACTACTGTCTCTTTTGGTCAGCAAATCATTATTTTTTAGTTAGGAGACATACGGATGCTTTGAAAAAACTGAAGAAGATACAATCTCAGAAAAATGGTCAGATGGTTGTAAAAGTTGAACACATATGGCTTACGAAGCTCGCCACAATAATCTAGTTTTCCACACTTGGCTGCGCCTGGAAAAAAAGTCTCCGAATCTGTACACCCAAAACTGGTACCACGTACATGGAAAACACACAACCAATGTTTACTTCAATTGATCTTCATCCACAGGGAAGTTCCTGGGTCACCTCAGCCCATGTGGAGCCAAGCACCCGAAACATGGTAGCAGTTTGACACCACCATCATGCTGAGAAGGACAACGGGCCATCCACACTTATGGTCAGGCTCCCACGGGACACGACTCAAAGGAAATTCCAAGGTGACAATTCTGTGCCCATGTGACAACTCCACAGGCACTGAACTCTGTCAGTGGCATGGGTAACTAACTCATGATTCCCGATTCCCATTGAGTGCGCTGTGCGTGGGGACCCATGGGGCTGGGCGGGTGAGAAAACAGGGCCATGCAGGTGGCTTTGAAGGTTGTGCAAGGCACAAGGACACCTGGCTGGGGGAGTGAGCGGGGGCTAGTATCCAACCTGGGCTGTTCTTGCCAAGCCAGGTGCCCTGGCAGCCAGCCACAGGAACACGCCCTTTCCCAGTTTGCACAAAAACCCCAGGCTTCATTCATCCAGATTCTAGGTTTAAATTTAAGGCCAAGAAGACAAGGTCAAGTCACAAAGAGGTGAGTTTTAGGGCACAAGAATTTTACCTCTGTGAAGTTGTTATTAGCATATATCATCAAGACACACTAGAGAAAACCACCAATTTTTCCAAGAAGCAACAAAGGAGAAAGAGCAGATGAAGCAGCATCAATATATTAAAGGAGGTCATTGTAAACACTACTTCTACGTAACCATCAGGCCTGTCATTTACAGAAGGGGTGCTCACCTTTGACCTAACTGCAACAAAAGGTGGTAAGAGTGATCCTTATAAATCCGTTTCTCCACAATCTTTTTGAAGCCTGACCTCTACCCCTGATATGTTATTAAAACAGTTTCTCTAAGGACACAGACCAAGAATCCTACATGCCACGTGCATACCACACCTGGGTAACCAAGCACCATGTTCCGAGGGAGCCTGGCTGGTGCCTTTACTGACTCGCCTCAGTTAGGTTTTATTGAACTTTGCCATCGAAGGCGGAAAACTTTAGTGAATAATAGCTGCAGTGCCTAAAGATTTGAAAATTAAGACTCTCAAATAACACACACAGTCCAAACTCCCAGCTGGTTATGTTGTGAGCTTAGATGAACACTGTAAGTATCCTTCCTTCAATCATTCTTTCAACATACATTTATGGGTTATAACTACTCTGTCCCAGGCCTGGAACCGATTTCCTTTGCACATCTCCTCATTGTCTCATTAGTTTTCAAGCGTAACTCTTGGTTTGGAACCACGTCCAAATTATGGCAAGCTGATCATAAGAAAATTACCAACTGAATTCATTTCCTTGAACAGCAGCATCTGGAGGGATGAACCACCTCATGCTCTTGGCAGGAGCACTTTCTCAGCATCACCAGATACCTGTTCCCAGAACAGACAATCTGTCCCCTCAGCAGGGGCACCACGCCAACGGCCACCCTATTGTCCTACCTGAATGGTGGTGTTGCCTCCTTCCAGGAGCGCAATGGCCAGGAGAATGCTTTCGTGGAACACTCGGTCACTAGACGCGTTCATGATGAGGTCGATGACCAGATTGGAGGCCCCCTCCTTGTCGAGGTGGCACTGAACTTCAGCCAGGCTCATCTCACCTCTGCTTGTGGAGCTGGAGCCGGATCCTCCCCCTGGAAGATGGAACACTGTCTTCAATAACCTCTCTCAGTTGCCAACCGCCAGCAGTCTAGACCAGGGGTCAGCAAATTTCAAGACAGAGTATACAATCCTGTCCCTCACAACAATTTAAAAATGACTCGAGAGTCATAAGTATATTTTTTACAAACAAATGCAATCACCATGATCTGAACAATCTCCTTTAAAATGTTTCAGTTTTACTTCAGAGCCATGTGGACATACCACAGATGGCTCAAAAGCCACTGTTTGGTGACTCCTGGTAGAGACTGAAGCTTTCTGTATTCACGGCTTTGCACGCAGCCCCACTCCTCTTAATCCTGCACACTGCTCCACAGGGAACATCTTCATCATTAACTCTTAGCTTATAAGCAGGAAAACACACCAGGAGAGGTGTAGTCACGTGCCCCGCTTGCCAGTAATAGAGATAACGTTTGAGGGTGAAGAATAGGTCCTTTCCAGTAGGGACTATATCTGTGACCCCACCAAGCCACCCCCCTCCCATTAAAGTACCCTGACTCAGTAATAGATGCAGTCATGCTACAACTGAACACCTAATCATTTGTTCTCCCTTTCGACCCTTTCTAAATTTGCTCATTTTAATTATTTTCTGCTTTTTGATTGAGGTTTTTCTCTGTTTCATTTAATGATTGTTGGGTATATATTTATTTTACAAATTTTTCTCTATATGAAATCCAGAATAGGCCAATCTATAGAGACTGCTAGTTTCTTAAGGTTACGGCAGGGAGGTTGGGGGGAAATGAGGAGCTAATTTTAATTAGCACAAGAATGAAGAAAATGTTATAAAACTTATTGTGGTAATGACTGTTTAATTCTTTTTAATATAAGTACTGGTATGTGATCTGTGAGTTATATGTCAATAAAACTGTTAAAAGAAAAAATATGCTTATTTGGGGGCAGAATTAGTAAGAAACTGATGTGAATTTAAGAGACAAACCACACTTGAACCACCCCATGGCAGTGGTATAAAAATAATCTAGAGCTATCAGTCTAGAGTTCTAACTAACTCACAAACTCATCCTTTTGTATCATTTATCTGTTCTTGACTTCATTCAACAGACACCTGTTCAACCAGGGACTGGGAGTGCCTAGCCTCAGTGAGTTGACTGAAGCAAAGAGGGCATTTAGTGGAATGGGTTGGGGCTGTTCAGAAACGACATATTTAGGAAGTTGATTGTATTACTGTTGGTAATAATCACCACTCTCCCATACATGGGGAGGGGGCTGATCCATTTTAGAAAGTAGATACCACATCTACCAGCTCTTCCCTCAGAGGTCACTTCAAGTGCCCTTTATCTCCCTTCGGCTGCCCAACCTCATCTCTGCCCTTATATATCCACAGCACAAGGCAGCAAGCAGGCCATCCATCTGCTCTCCGAAAGCTTCCTAAAGCAGAACCCATCTTTAATGCACTTCCCCCTTCCAAGGGCCTCGTGTATCCTTTAGGTGTGATGTTATTGGAGGAACTTCAGAGTGAAATGTTTTGGGGAGTTTGGGGAGAAGAGCCGAGGTGGTCCTGTCTGAGGTGTGCCCTGAGAGCCACTTCTTCAGTGAAGCCTGCACAGCTTACAAACGGAGAAAGTTGAGACCTGCTGATATAGCCAAGGCCCTTCCCTAGGAATTGCCAGGACGAATTAACTCTTGAGTTTTTAAAAACATTTTTTTAAAACTCTGAGTATTTTTGTGCTACTTGGGTTCATGCTGCCCAAGGACCATCACCATAACACAGGGAATTAGGCAACTCACATTTGCACTTCAAGTACCATGTAAATGAACCTGACTACTGACTCACCTTAAAACCAATACCACTACTAAGAACCACAGTGGAGTTCAACATGTTTGCAGTTTTTGCCTATGATTGGGTGTAAAACGTTTCTGGAACACCTTGAAAGGTATGATATAAGCAGTTCTGTACAAGGTCGCTGATGGGTGCTGGAATTAAGCAACCAGGTTCAAAACAGAACAGCCAGCAACACTCATCAGTTTCTTCTGCTAGACTGGGGTCTCCATAAAAAGCTGCTGCTGAGGAGTTAATTCCAACTCTTGGCAACCCCAGGTGACAGGCAGTTAGAGTGGAACTGTGGTCTGGAGAGCTTCAGGGGCTGCATTCTGAGGAGTAGACAGTCAAGTCTTTCTTCTAAGGTACCTCTAAGTGGACTTGAACTTCCAACTGTTGGCACACCAAGAGTGCCTTGGATAATTACAGTACATACCATGCCACGGTCACATGGAGGGAAACGGAGATAAAAAATGCAGGCCATTTGAGAACGCACCCAGCAGTCCGGAAGTACATAATAAATGATAGTCTTCCCCAGCCTTGCTGCCAATATCAGCACTGCCATTTAATGGGAAGACAGGAGTCCTAATGAGCACAGGAAAACCTGGACCGGACTCATATTGACCCCAAAGGAAAAAGAACTGCTACTCAGGGTTTCAGAGGCTATACATCTTTATGGGGACAGCCATAAAGACAGCCTTGTCTTTCTCCCTCTGAGTAGCTGGTGGGTTCAAACAGCTGATTTTGTAGTTAACGGTTCAGTGCTCAGCACAGTGTGCCACCAGGGTTCTTCTATCACAGGAAAACATGAATACATCAAGTTAATTTAAATATCACTAAAAGGGTCGCTGTATGGGAAGGAGGGGCAAAAGACTTGGCTAATATCAAATTGTGGAGAAATGTTATTTTGTAGGGAGTTACTTTTAGACATTGTTTTGATACAGGACAAAGACAAAACAAGTTGCTAAAAATTATACTGGCCACCCAAATTTGTCTGTTTAAAGAGTTTCAACCCATTTTCCAGACTCATGAAGTACTCACATGACACACTGCTAGTTAGTACCCACGTGGCCTACCTCCTCCCCCAGGCTTGCTGGGTCCTCCTGGAGACAGTGGGCCATTGCCAAAGCTCGTAAGACTCTCTCTTCTTCCAGAAGGTCTGATGTTTCCATAGTAACGGTTGACCAAAATTTGTCTGAGTGCCTCACCCTTAATTCAAACAGGATAATGAAATCAGGTACTGAATTTGATGCATTATAGAGCAATTAATGTTAAAAACAAAACAAATATCCAGGGTACTCACTTATCATTGGCCCAGTTTCACTCAGGAGAAATGTAAATTTATAATAAAATCATTTGGAAACTCTGAAATTAACTTCAACATTTTCTCAGGGAACCAGATAATTTTTTTGCATTCTTTTTTTTTTAAGTAGCAATGCTTGAATAGTGCATATCTGAAGTACTCTCTCACACATTGATAAGGATAAAGATAGAATATTAATGTTGAAGAGCCACCACCACCAACAAAAATCCCTTTAGGGTAAGCCAACAAAACTTAAAAGACAAATGGAAAATTTCACAGGTCAGCTTCCACACAGAAATATAAACACATGAAGATGTTAAACAGGTGTTTATTTCCAAGGTCCTAAGAAAATATTGAGAGAGAAGAGCAATGGAGTGTACTACTATAATGAGCTGGAAGTGAACCTTTCTTACATAAACATCAATGGGCCCAATATACAGAAAAATAATGCTATAAGAAATGCATTAGTGATTGACATGTCAATCAAAGCCTCGGTCTCACCAGGGACCTGATACGAGTCTGGGATTTACTCTGCAGCGCTCTGGCTGGAGGAGAAGGTCAATGAGAGGAGGGAGGGGTATTGAGGAGACAAGACTGGGTGTGACTTATAGCTGGTGAGACTGGGTTATGGGGGAGGGGGGGCGGTCTCAAAGTTTTCTGAACTTCTTTTGACTACATTTGAACTTTGCCATTTTTTTCAAGTGTGAAAAATCTGTCAATGGAATCCTGGGTGCAGACGTAACAACTATTTCCCACAACTTTAACTGAAAAGAAACGTTCTTTTAAAGGTTCATTTTCTCACTGGTCCTAGGGCCCATGGACAAGCCAGCACATCGATGTGGGATTTCTGCTCAGCTCTTCCAGTCGGCTCCCCAAGGGACTCCCTGACCACATACCAATCTGTCCTGGGTTGCCAGCAACTCCAACACATGCTGACCCCACGTGCGTCCACGTAGAACTTCACTATACAGGGTTGTCAGTGGTTGATTTTTCAGTAGCAGATCCAGGTGAACCCAAACCGCCCATCTTCTTATTAGCAGCAAGAGCATTACACTGCCCTCACACACCCCCCAGCGCCCCAGGGGCTCCTCCCAGCCTGTAAGTCAAAGGCTGTATGCATTTCCACCAGCCTATTTCTCAGGGACAAAATAGTACGGCATGGAGTTCCTCTGATGCATCATCAAGAGAGAGGTAAGTGAGAAGTCTAGCAGAGACAAGAGGTGCAGAAACATAGCAGGTCCCTAAAATAGAGACTCCCAAGTTCGGAAGGGCGCAGCAACTATAACATGAGTTAGTTGGATTTGAAGTGATTTGTTAATAAATTCTAAGAATAGGTGTGGGGACTTCAAGTGAGGTGTTTGCCAACACAAGAGGGGATATAAAGGAGGGAGGGTGGGAGGGGAGAGGAGCCCAGAAGGCAGGTGACCAGAGGAGAAAGGGGAAGGGCAGAAAACTCACACCAACTGCCAAAATCATGTATGGCCTTTGCTCATTCTTGTATGGTCAAAAACCATACAAGGGCGAATTGGGGTAGGGAGGGAAGAAAGGACAACCTTTAAGTTAAAAAATGCAGGATAAACACACACACACACTCCAAAATTCTCATTCCATCCACGAATCTGTCTCACTGTAGCTTAGCAGAGGGGAGTACTTCTTTGTATCAGCTTAAGGAGGTCATCTCCCACCTCAACCCACTGCAAATTCAAACTTTCAACAGTGCTTCAAATGGCAACGTTACTTGCAATGTTTTGAGTGCTTTTTTAATATAAACGTTTTGTTGGTATGGGGAAAGTTTCGGGACAATATTCCTTAATGACTCTGAGTTCCACATCTTGGTGTAAAGATAGCTTGGGTCCAGCCTCAGGCACCGACACACCACCCCCTCCAAAGCAGTAGCTGGAAGCATGGCGATTTAAAGGCGGGCTCTTAGCAGAAACAGTCATTCCAAAGGAATTTTTTAAAGCTTACTAAGACAAAAAGGGGGACGGGGAGGGCAGGGTATGCAGGGATAACTCCACTTGAATAAAAAAACAAACACACTGCCATTAAGCCAACCCTAACTCCTGATGAGCCTATGCACACTATAGAGTATCACTGAGCCCCCCTGCTCCCCAGAGTTTTCTTGGCTATAATCTATATGGAAGCAGATCGCCAGACCTTTCTTCTGAGGTACTGCAGGTGGAATGGTTAGTACGGGAGCACCATCTGTCTCACCCAAGGAGCTGATTTCATTTTTTTAAAATAAGAGGCATCTATATTTGGACTTTCAATAAGATAGTGTTTCAACAAATCAATAACAGGAAATGCTGGTTGACAGTAAACCATGCTGATCCTCTAATTGTGTCTCCACACTAGCTAGACCACATGGAGAGGCGGATGGTTGATATGAGCTACAACCACAGAGGCAGCCAGCCTAGCTAACATCATAGGACTAGGGGGACCCCAGGGATGGATGGTCAAGTCAAAGGGAGTGTGGCTATGACCAGCCCCCATGGGAGGCTCTGAGGGTCTGAGTGTCCAGTTAGAGAATCTGGCTCCTGGGGGTTGTTTTGTTTTGTTTTTTATCCTCGTTGTTTGGAGAGCAATTGGCAAGGCCCTGGACAGTTTGTAAGCAAGCAAGTGGGAGGAAGAAACAGGGGCACTTGCCCCCAGCAGACAGGTGGCCCCCAGGAAAAGCAATGTCACATTATGCAGCCCTGGTGCCAAACCAGTTACAAAGGGATCTCACATTGCAACTTTACTGGTCCTTCCATGGGGGCTGGGGGTGGGAATCCCTGTGGTTACCATAGCAATGGATGCCTCCAATGGTACACACACACCCACAAGAGAGTATCATGAAATGTACTCATTATGGAAAGAGGGGGGAGCATATGACAAATTAATTTTTTCCCCTTCTTAATTATAAGGCTCTTGCCACAGTCAGCTCACTTTCTTGCTACAAAACATACTGCAAGAAACAAAATAAAAGAAAGTGAAATTTGCTCTTTAAAAATTAAATGAGCTTTGAGCCTTTCATGAAAGAATAGTGACTGGGAAATTTAGGTAAAGAAGGAAAGAAAGAGAAAAGGGATAAGCCTTATTAAAAATTAAACACAAATCTTTAGTATGAAAACCTTGGTCCCAGGAAAAGTCAGGTGTCTTGAGGCTGTGGTTTTACTCAGGAGAATTAGGCTGCAAAGCAAGCCTTTGTAATCATCTGGGTATCAATTATTCGATCTCACAGGCTGATGGCGACTTACCAGCTTGAGAAATCTGATTGCAGAGGAGAAACAGAACAATAAAACAAAGACTTTCCCTAAACATCACTTCTTCAGCTTTCACATCTGGCTGTGGAAGCTTTTTATAAAATTAGATTAGGTTTTGTTTTGTGCCCCCCCACCCCCTCCCCCGTTTACACCTACAGTATGCAAACAAATACCAGACGCCTGTCTCCAGTCAGAAACTCCACACATGGAACAGTCCGTTTGGGTGTCATGTTAAAACAGTGGAAATCGTGGGTTCAGGGTAATGAAGCCTGGCTTCCAGCCTGCAACTCCACCAGCAGACTTTCACTTCTCACTGCTGACGGTGGCTAATGAGCCGTGTGGGAACACTGCCAGGTATCGAACATGGCGAGACACGCAGGAGTGAATATTGCCACAGAGGACAAGAGGCAAAGCGACCTTTTGGCTTCCCAGCCTCCAGCCACGTGAAAACCACGTGCTTCAGGAATGACTGCCTCTGTAGATGAGCCTCTCACACCTTAGTCAGCAGGACCAAGGTAAGCCCTCCATTTACAAATACCGTATGTGTACAAGCCGAGTTTTTCAGCACATTTTTAATGCAGTTTTTGTGGTAAAATTAGGTGCCTCGGCTGATATTCAGGTCTGCTTATAGGCAAGTATGTATGGTACCTTCGTTCATCTGATTCTTGCTTGTCTGCAACCTCGAATCAATGTTTCCAACGGGAACTTGCTACAACAGAACAGCTAGCGTCCCTTATCAGTGCCCCACTGCACTGTGCTATGTGTCTAACATACACATTTCGGTACCACAGCCCCAGGGGATGGGTACTGCTGTAGTCGAGTGATACAGCAGAGGAGACTGAGGCAGGAAGCTTGCCCCAATCACAAAATTAGTGCTTGGCAAGCAGAGACTCCAACCCATTTCAAACTCATGAGCTTAGTGCTCCAATACCATGTTCCCGGAGCACTAGCATTAGAACTTGACTATAAAATGTAAGCTTCAAATCGAAGACAGGAGGGATGGCTTCATCCTTTTACCAGCAGTTTCTAAGACATACAATCAGGTTTCCAGGGCAGGAAACACATGAAGGCAAGGCGTCCTTGGCCAATGAACTGTAGGAACTACAGCGCTAGAATGCCCTGCCCTGCATTCTGCCCAACTGTCTCCTTTACACATGTAAAAGTCCTAGCACCCCATGAGACCTACAACTTTCCTATAGCTCCTAAATGCTTCCCTCCTCAC